GGGAACTGTATGCCAACAAATGCTAGTAATTCTTACTATAACATCACATACCGGTGAGCGCATGGATGTTATGATAACTGAAATGTTGAGATTATACGTTTGTGAATCATAACATTTATCAGAAAAATGTACTAAATATAGTACACTCTACTAAATGTACTACTCTATGTATGTGATTGTTATTTCAATTTGATGTAAAAATCGCTTTCAATACGTTTACTATAAGTACAATAAAAAGGTTGCTATGAATTGAAGTAAAGTGTGATTTAGTGTCCAAAGAAAAGCTACAATCGTTAAGTACTGTAATTGTCATACATTTCGGTCTTAACTATAAACTAACCAAATATTCCGATGTCTCGCAACAGCACCGGCCTATCGGCTCAGACACAACTGGACAGCACCTCAATATCCATATCGGAAATCGGTGTCAGAATACGAGAGCTCATCAAAAGCGATGCCCTGAAACACCAGTTTCGGAGGGCCAACAGCGCACTGGAGGGGTCGTGCGATTACGCCCTGAGCCCCGAGAACCTCGATAAGAACCGGTACGGCAGGTGGGGGTACGGCGTCCCATACGATGCCACTCGAGTCGAGCTCCACATTGTGGACAAGGAGGCCAACAGCGACTACATAAATGCGAGTCACGTGGACGGGTACCGGAGCGCCGGCAGGTATATCGCATGTCAGGGCCCACTCGAGCACACAGTGGGCGACATGTGGCGAATGGTGTGGCAGTACGGCTGCGCACAAGTGGTTATGTTGACCAACAGTCGCGGTCCACACGACTGGCACTGCGCTAAGTATTGGCCCGAATGGGGACCGGTGTGTGAGCCTACAGTTTATGGGAACGGTATTAAAGTTAGGCCAACGGGCAGGCAAGTGGCCGATGGCTACACTGTTCGCACATTTCAAGTGGAAAGGGATGGAGAAGATGCCCGAGAAGTGGTTCACTATAACTACACGGGTTGGCCCGATTGGGGCGTTCCTGACTGTAGCCACTCGTTCCTACCGTTCCTCAAACGGGTCAGAGCTGACAAACAGTACACGTCGAGAAAGCCTATTGTAGTGCATTGCTCGGCCGGCATTGGGCGCACCGGTAGTTTCATTCTCATTGATACTATGCTAGAGATGGCTAATGAGGAGAAGAGGATCGACCCGTTGAAGCAATTGTTGCACATAAGGGAACAGCGGATGAATTTGGTTGAGGCCATAGAACAGTATGTGTTCGTACATCAAGTCCTTATGGAAGCCCTGTCC